AAATATATTGAACTGTATAAAATAATTCTAAAATGATTCGTTGAATTATATTCGAAATTTATTGAACTATGTTTGAACAATAATAAATATACTTTGACCTATATTTGAACAATATAAAATTTTCGTTGAATCGCTTGACATCGGAGTTTAAGCCATCCAATCAGCTCTATATAACATTGGCCTTCTAAACGATAACTCTTAAGTATAAATTCAATTACTTGAAATTTGCACAATCCAAAAAAAAAAAAGCAAAAACAAACAAACAAACTTTGTTGTCCAAACAGACCTTGTTCTTCATAGAAGAGGGTCCTTTTTTGGTTTTCTATACTTCTAATGTAGTTCCATAAAAATTGCATTCATGAATTGTTGTCATTTCTTTTGAAAACAAGAATAAACAATATATGGAAAAAAAATCACAAACGGAAACTTTAAAACTATATGTTAAAAGATAAACAAAAATGATGTTGATCTGATATAAAAGATAATAGAAATATTTTGAATGAAAATATTGCTTTTTGTAATATGTTTAATAAAAAATGATAGTTAATGTGACAATCTTAGAGGAAATTTTTTTATGAATAATACAATATCAGAAGTAGATCTTAAAGAAATAAAGCCAAAAACCTCAATGGTGAAATTAAACCATTATCGCATGAATCAATTAGAACTTAGCTTCAAATCATAATTTTGTGTTATGTTCAAATAAAAACTCTAAATTAAAGAGAGCCCATGACAAAGAATTTAGAAAGGAAATAAAGACCCTTCAACAAATGGAATGTTAGATATGACACTATTCGATTGAGTTGGAGCAAGTTCGAGCCTTAGAAAGAATTTTGGCCCTTTTCATTTGATACACAAAATTAAACTCTTAGTAATATGACTTTTCTTGAAGATTATTCACAACTTCTTACAAGCATTCCCGTATATGATCCGAAGATCATCAATCGTGCTTATTGATTCTCAATGAACACTTTTCATGAAGGTTAACATAATTAGCTCAAGGGAGAAAAGTGATATTTTTAGTAGGTGATATGAAAAGTTGTTTTTACCAAACCAAATAATTATTTGTAATCCGGAAATCTCGAGAATGATAACATAGGTGGATAGATCGATAAAGGCTGATGGGATTAGGCATATAGCGACAACGTAACACGTGAAAAGAATTTTGTTCTTCTCTAGAATTATAGGAGGAAGCGTTACAAAGTGCAATAATTCGGGGAATAATTCAGACAGTGTCATGACAAGGGAATAAATTCAATATTATTAATGCTTTAACAGAACTAAATTTGTGGCGAATAGGGCAATGATCATATTTTCAAAGCACACGAAAATATCCAACACAAAATCCATTGTTTGTCTCAATTGCATCGAATATAAATAAATGGAATTAAATGAAAAAGAAGCCTTTATTTATTAGCAAAAAATGTACAAAGAAGGATAATAATTTACACTAGCTTGTAACATAGTTCACAACCATATTCTCTAATATGTCATAGATTGATAATTTTTATTTTATTTTATTTTTTAAAATTTATCATGAATCATTGAGCATAAAGGTTTATTTACCAGCCTTTGTGTGTATATTCATAAAATTTTGTTATGCTATCAAAGTGGATGTCATCAAGAGTTTCATGTACATATATAATATATAATGGATGATTTTCTTTCTGCCCTAAATTATTACTTTAAATCACATTTTTCCTTCCTTATTCCTTAATTTCATGCTTTTGTTTTCAAAACAAAGATACAAATCCAATATTTTTATTAACAAAGAATGCTCTAGAACTAATTAATATATTTCAAATATTCACAAAACAAATCAACCATAAACATATTCAAAAAGATTCATGATAACGAAAGAGAAAGAGAAAAGAAAAAACCCTCACTTCTACATTACATATTTCGAATTAGAATTCGACACATATAATTATCAAAATAATTACAAAGCAATGAAGTAATAAAACTAAGTAACAAACACACAGTCACCAAATGATTTGAGTTCTTCTTCTTCGTAACTCTTACATTACAACCTTAAATTTCCCTTTCACTTCCATCTTCATCTCCATATATCTCCATCTCCATCCTCCAACCAGAGGGATCCATCAATCCATTGAACACATAATACATGTATTAGGATATTTTAGATAAGTAATATATGATTTAAATACGATTTCAATTATCTAAATTATGTCGTTATTATTAGATTAAATTTTTATTATTTGAGTTTATATTGTTATTATTTGAGTTTATGAATCTATATATATATCCTACCTTTTTACAGAACCCTGATATAAACTCTCTCAAAAATATAGTAGTACAAATACAAACTCACTAACCAGATATATAAGTGTAGCATAGTAAATAAGGATTCAAAAACATCCCGTGATCGTCGCCGGAAGTAAACTCGAAGCTCAGACCACCGCAGTACCCATCCATGGCGATCGATCCAACCCTCCATTTCCAATACCGATACTTAACCTCTGCCCTAATCCATACCCCAAGAGTCAAGCTCCCTCGATCTATATCCTGCTTCATGGATCTCACCCCGTCGGCTCCAAGATCCACGCCGGAGAAGCTCAGATTGGCTCTAATGGCTGTCCGATTGAGGCCCGCCTGAGCAAACGGAAATGGGTAGGATTCCGACAGGAGGGTTCCGGTGGAGGGATAGATCAGCGAGATTTCGATGCTCTCAAAAATGGTTGTCAGATGGGGATTGTTGTTGTCCACAAAAACCGTGATGCGGCAACTCCCCGTCGCCCGCGTGCCGGAGAATTTGACGGCGGCCAACGCGGCGTCGGCGACGTGCAACTGAGGGAAGACGGGGTGGAGGAGCATCCAGCCGACGACGGCGAAGGACGAGATCAGGACGAAGAAGAGGATTCCGACGACGAACGACTGGTAAAACCACGCGTTCGGTCCCTCGAAGAAGACCGTCCACCAGGGCTGACGGCGGTGCATCTCGTCGGCGTAGACCGGCGCCGGCGGATTGTTGTGACGGAGATGCTCCACCGCCAGATCGGGCAGCCCGTTGGGCTGCCGGCCGGCCCTCGCTCGGGCAGGAGGAGGATTCGCATCGCCGACCTGTTGGTTGTCGGCAACCACCGCCGGCTGCTCTGCTCTTTCTGCGGCTGCGGGATTCATGGCGCTTGGTTAGGGTTTGGAATTGGGGCTGAAATTGGGAGTGAGGGGATCGAGAGGGAAAGTGAGAGGGGGTTTATAAAGGAGAGAGGCGAGGGCGAGGAGAGTACACGTGGGATCGGTGGCGTCTGCCATTGATGACGTCAGAAAGGAGGAGAACAGCGTGTAGTGTTAGGGTTTTTGTAGCTGTGGGGACGAAACCGGGGGGATGGGGGGTATAAAATCCTTCAAAAAACCGCCATTTTCAATTTCTTTTGGATGTGTTTGTTTGTGGATTATTGCACTCAGTTAGACAGAAGTGTTTAGAAACTTTGGAGTTTGAAGGTTGAAAAAAAATTAAATAATTACTTCTTGATTTAATATTTTACGAGATAAAAAATATATTTAATATGAATAATAAAAATTTGAATTTTGAGTTGTTTTTGGATGTGATATAAATAAATATGAATGTAAAAATAATTTTTAGTATAATATAAAAAAGAAAAAAAATATTATTTGATTGATAAATTTGAGAAAAAAAAAACAATAGTAAAAAAAATTGCAAAACAAACACAGCAATATAAAACTGTATCTAAACTAATTTAGATTTTTGGTAAATTAGCTTTTTAAATTAATTTTTGGATCAAAAAGCTAATTTCTGAAATTTACCCAAATAGCTTTTTCAATTTAAGTTTTTTTATTCTTGTCCTTAAAAATTTAGTATGCATTTTACATTTATTTGGATTATTTATAATTATATTATAATATTTTATTATATTATAGTTTTACTTATATAAATTTAAAATAATTAATTTTTATATATAAATTATTTTAATTGTAAAATATATAAATTTATTAAAATAAACACAAAATATAAAATATAAATATTAATAATTTATTTTTATATTAAAATTACCTTATATAAATATTATACTAAAAATAAATTAAATTTATCGATAATTATAAATATAATGAAAACTTAACCTAATAAATATATACACGAGTATTTAAATTAGAAAAAAATAAAATAAAAATATTCTTAATTATCATTTTCCGTAGAAACGGCTAATATGAAACAGTTGTTTTACTAAATATTTTAATACAAACAAATAATCAATTCGACTAGTCAAACCAGTTGCCAAACACGCCCATAATAAAATGATTCAGTCGGTTTATAAAAGAATTTTACTGAACTATGTTTGAACAATAATAAATATATTTTTGACCTATATTTGAACACTATAAAAATTTTGTTGGATCGTGTTATAAATATATTGAACATATATATATATATATATATAAAGGCATTTTTAATGTGTTTTGTGATGAATTAGACATTGATAATATTTTCGATTATATTTGTAAGAAGATACATAAATAGAGTCAATAAAATTCTGAATCTCTTCAAAATGCACATTATTTTATAACATGACTATAATTAAATAAAATGAAATAAATCAAATTTAATAAAGTGTAAAGTATATTTTATTTTCGGAAAATCATTTCAAAAAGAATATACATATTTTTGGAAAAACATAATTGAAAACTTGTGTGAAGACTAAAAAGGAACAAATATACTTGGAATAAGAATGTAAATATGATAACATAAATACATAAAATGTGGAATTAATTTGGTTGGATTTTCATGACTCAAATTAAAAATAAGTAGTAGATAATTAAGAATATATTAGTTTATCCTATAATATAAATAATTATAAATTAAGATTAAGATAACTAATTAGTTTAATTAAAATTAAAAATAATAAATTAAAAAGTTTAATTATTTCCAAAAAAGAAAAATGACATGGAATATGGGACAGAACGGCAACGTGAACATGGTACGTGAAACAGGGGAGTATAAAGAATGTGAAACAGCCAGATAAAAGGAAAAACCTTCATCATGATGTTAGGTAAAAAAATGATTATTAATTTTACAGATATTGAAACAAAGCTACACATATTAGAGTTAATATCTGCAGTGATGCATTTTCAAGTTCTAAGGTCTTCCTTCAAAGAACTCACCCAACATTCTTTCGAGATCTTCCGGAGTATATTTGATGTACTTTTGCGGACTTTTGCCACTCTGGATCATAGGCCTGTTCATCAAATCGCTCGCAATAATTCAAAACATTTACATGTTTAGTATAGTAACGTGCATAGAGATCGATTAATCATTGGTGTTAAATATTTTTGCGTGTACCCGAAACGTCTGAGGAAAGATCTGTATGCAGGCAGTAGGATCTCGGCGACTGCGAGCCTCAGAGATTCGCGCAGCTCGGAATCGCCAACTACCCACTGTGATTGCCTCAGGTGCATCTCCTCGAAGAGAATGTTGAAGGTTTTGAACCTGTCTTTCACCATTGATTTCGAGACGTTGCTGATATCTCCGCTCGATTGGATGCCCTGAATGGTGAGGCATTGCAGAATCTGCACCATTGTCATGTTTTTATCAATCCAATCATAAGAGAACAAAAGATCATTTTATGATCTTAAAGTCGAATAGAATTTAAAAAATGATGATGATGATGTACCTTAGCCCAAGCAACTCTCCTGTACTGATTAGCATGCTGCTGGACAACTCGCCGATGTATTTGCACCCAATCGTTGCCTAATAAATCTTTTGCATCTGACCTGGACGACAAAACATGAAGAAAAATTACCGTGATCCCAAGAACAGTAAGGCACATGTGCATATAATTATATATAAACAACAAGAATCGCGCACCTGCGCACGGTTCTAACAAGCTGATGCATATTATTCATTAGAAATATGTGGGAGAAAGCAGGATCTTTATACTGCTTTGCTTTCCCTTCAAGATTAGTCTGCAGAGCCTGAATGATCCTTGTCGTTATGTTTGTCAGCTGCTCCTCGGCATTATTATCGTGCAACTCTTTAAACAGTTTCAGTAGAGTCAGGCGATACCTGAAAGTATCAAAGCAAGAAAGAAAGAGATCCTTCAGCTGAGTAAGTTAATTTGATATTGCATGAATTCTCATAAGCAAAGAAAAACTCAAGTAAAGCATAAAGTGAACAACACAGGCAAGGAAAGAGCAAATTTAGAAGTTTGTCGAGGCGATCTTACTCAACGAGAAAGTTCACATAGTTGATGACATAGGTGGTTAAAGGGTGGGTGGTTCCATCAAGGGCAGAAGTTTTTGAGGTATCTTTCTCAATTATCTCGCGAAAGTCTACAAACATTTCTCGACCAGTCTGAGCAAGTCGTTTTGTGAGTGCTGCTGCAGAGTCCCGCACTTCCTGACATAAATTGCTTCCAAATAAAGAAACCATCTGCAAATGTAATAAGATAAATCGGGTAAAAAAGTAAAATATAAGAAAACACTTGTAGCAGGAAGTGCTTATCAATTTTCAAATGCACTTGAACACTTCATGGATTTAAATTTGATATTATTGTGTCTATTGAATTTATCAAAGCACTTTTAGTGAGAATTTCCATACAAGGAAAAAATACAGAAAAGGAAAAGAAGCTGAAAATCTCAATTGAAGAGCGGGGGCTGAATTACTTCTACAAATGATTAATTACCCCATACCTCAGGTCGGATCTCTCGCATTATGTCATACATGTCCAAAAGAACAAACAGCTTCTCAGGTAATCTTTTGCTCCTAGAAACAGCTTCTCCTAAACTGAAGAGCATAGCTACACCATTGGCTGTGACTTCAGCAAAACACTTATCTCCAATATCCTCATTACCCTCGAAAATCTGATCACAGACTTTCTTTTCACCAGGAAACAGAACCTTGAACTTTGCCATGACAGCATAGGTTCAGGTTAAGAAATTAAAAAGCTCAAAAAATAAATGTATAAATAAATAATATGGAAACTAAACATGTAAAATATGATTAAATTCTTACAGAAGTTCGCATATTAAGTGTCCAGAGTTTAATCTTCAGCTCTAGAACTTCCCATTGCATCCTTTGCACATCCTCTTTACTAAGTCTTTCAACGCCTAGCTTCGTGAGAGTTTGCTCCATTGCCGAAAATCGGGCCTCCCTTAATTGAAAGATTACGAAAACAGTGACATCATCAACCAGGTTGCAGCCAAGATTTATAAAGTAGAAACCATACCAGTCCAGACTTGTCTCCAAGTAGCCATCACAACTCAAAACACACACACACACACAACATATAAGAAGGCTTTCTTGCTCATTATTTGGTTTGATTGTGTCATATTGCATCCCAATTCCCCATAAAACATTCATCATTTAAATCAGAAGGATATTAAGATGCCTAGGTATACACTTTTACTGCCTTTGAAAGACCAAACAATTGCGTTGATTTTTTGTATGGTCATAAGTCATAACAAATCATGAACAACACACATGGATGACTATTTAGATAAGTCATAAAACTTTTCTAGAATACCTACAAAATCCACAAAGAAAACTTCCAGAGTATAGAGGCAAATTTTTAATTTAGCTAACTATAATCTTATATTTCTGGATTCAAGAATTCAATGTGAAGAGCATGGCATATAATATGAGAGAACTGAAAAGAAGAGTTTACCAAATTATCTGATAGCTAGCAAATTTGCTAAAATGTCATCCTCTACAATTCCTGAGAGCTAACTTCCATATGAATGTCACAATTATAGAAGCCACAGCATTATCTAAAATCATATGAAAATTAAATGCAAGGGCCACAAACTTACCTGTACAAAACAAAGACCTGGTTGTGGTGACCAGCCTCAATCATTTGCTGAGCTATCTTTAGCAGCAAAGGCACAATTCTAGGAGGAATTAGAACTGGTAGTTGAAACACGTGTGTTTCAGAACTTCTATTGTGGTAATCAGATCTTTTTATTGTGTATGCTTCACTAGCATGAGATGATCCCATTGACGGCCTCATAAAGCTTGGCAGGCAATCATAAAGACGATCAGGTTCGGCAGCTTTGCTGAAAATAAACGCAACTGTGCTTACCAGATAAGTTCTTAAGTTTTATAGCCATAGAAGGAAAACTCTTCATGTAAGTATGAAAGTGAAATTTCATTCTAAATAGAACCAACTCTAGCACTTTTGATTGATTAACATGTTATATATGGATCTAAGCACACATTTTACAAGTTGGATATATGTGCATTAAGATATGCGCACGGATTTTGTAACAAATAAATCTTTTTGTTAATTCACACCAGTTGCAAAACAGAGCATCGCAAATACAGGATTGAGCACATCAATAAAAATCAAAGGGAATGATTCGAGTTCAGTATGCATTTAATTTCCATGCCACATCTCTTTCAAAAAGTTGGTCAACTGTATTCTGAACATGGATTAAAATCATAGTAATTCATGATAGATCAACTAGTTCAATGCGTGGTCAAAAATGCAGGATCCATGTTTAAAATCGAAAAGGTGTGTTTGCTGAAGCACAAGTTTGGATGCTGATATATACAAAAAAGCACACAAATATATATAAATATACTTAGAAATACTGGTCAAAGGCAAGAAGTTAAAAGGCTACACCAGTAAGGCACCAATATACACCTACAAGGATTAGAGGCACAACAATAAGACTTCCCATTTTTCTTGAAATTATATTAAGTAAATAAAAACAGCTAAGTAGTTGTGTTCAGTGGATGGTCAAACCTGTATCTGGTGACAAGCTGTCCAAACTCTTCTTCAAGTTTGATGATTGCCTTTCCAAGTAAGTTTTTGGCTTGGCTGATCACCCCAATGCTACTCTTAAGGGAATTTTTTCCACCACTTAAAAAAGTGACAATGCTCTTTAATTCCTCTACTGTTTCAAGGTAACTTTCCAAATCGTCATGAGGACCCCTCAATATCTTAGCCTCTGCCTGAAAGTTGTTTTAATTGTATTCAGTTGGGAGCAAACTAAACAAAAAATGCATAATCTTTAATCTAGTACCACCATGGTCAATTATAGTAAGCATGTGAAATGTATGCTCGCATTTCCTTTAGTTTGTTACCCAATCGATGATGTGAACAGAATCATGATCTCTAGAATGCATATAATCAAGAATTTCGAAACAAAAACTTGAGATACAATGATGGTCTCTGCAATGCATATAAGCTAGTTTCCAAGCTTATTGACTACCATAGACTTTTATGATGCGATTTCAATTCATCAAAAATCATACTCTGAGATTAACCAGGCTGACAATCAAATACAAAGCTGGAGTCTCCACGTTCAATTGCTCTCTCTTTTATTAATTAATTCTATTTAATGTAATATTTGCATACACTTATAGCAATTAGATTAATAAAAAACTGAAAAATTTTGGGAAAGACCTGTTGTTGAATCATCCAGGCGTGTTTCCTTCCTAATTATGGGTTTGCAAATATTCCGATGAATTTTCCTTATTGCAGTACCTCAACACACAATTTCGTTTTTAACTTCAATTATTGAACGTTAAATCCAGCAATACTTTTAGCAAGAAAGTCGCATGTTTGTGCACAAGAACCAAAAATAAAATTTGCAATAATTAGTTTAAAACAAGAAAACAATGAAAAAGGAAAAGGAAAAGGCAGAAGAAAAGAAAAAAAGGAGCAAGAACGAGACCTGACGTGCGAGATCGAATTGCCCAAGAATGACTTCCACAACCTTGATCGTCTTGTCTATATTCTCATGCGCCTTCTTTATTGAACGCGTTTTCATCTAAACAAAAACCACTCGCAAAGTTCACAAAGCTGAACAACCAACTGTGCGATTCGACTAAATCGAAACAATACACATGCACTCAATGCGATGCTAACATTATCCACCAATCACAGAGAGCAAGTAGTACGAAAAGGAAAACACAAGAAGGACTGACTACCTGTGTAGGACGCATGGCGGTCTCGAGAGCGGAGAGGCGGTGGTCGAAGGAGCCGAGAATCGACACCATGTTACTAGTAATGGCCTCAACTTTCTGCAACGATTCTCTCAACGTCGCGGTCCGCTCGCTTAGGGCTTCGATTCCCGCGATTGGTTCCTCCATTCCCGAACGATAATCTCGTCGGAATTCACAGTATCGGAGCGGAGATCATTCCGAATCGCCTCAAGATTTTCTGCTCTGAAAATGTGGACTAAGCGACGGAAAATTGACTTCGACCTTGAAGCAAATGGTCGCTTTATATATATATACGGTTACCAGTCGTCGTCTACAGACTGCGGTTGGGCGGGGCGGTATCTTGTCACGTGCACGGTGCGTGACCTGGACACAGTATTAATATGATACTATGATTAGGTAAACGGCGGATGCTTACTCAATTGGAATAGAAATTTCTTTTAATTGTCACATTCATTTTAATTTTAATTTAAATTTTTTTCGATTGTGTCATGTTTACTAATTTTATCTTTGCTAATTTTGTACCGAAAAAACACTTAAAAAAATATATATATATTTATATTTATAATTATCTTGAAAATATTTTTGCAAGTTCCACATTATCGAAGCCCCTGCTAATACGAATTTTTCACAATTAATAATTTTTAAATTTATTATTATGAAAATTTTGTGTCAAGATAAAAGGTATAATGCGTCACTTTTGGAAGTTGTTTGAGTTTTAAATTTTGAAAATAATAAAAATTATGCTCCCTCCGTCTCATATCTATCTATATATCCATTTGTTTTTTGCATGTAAATTTTAGAAATATTAGTATTATGTTATGATAAAATAGAAATAAAGATAAAAATATTAAATTAACATGTTATTTGTAATATTAGGTAGATGGTATAATTACTTTTAAAAAAAATGGATAATTTGTTATGGGACGGACCAAAATGAAAAAATAGATAGATTGTTAAGAGAGAAAATATTTAATAGATTACTTTATAAAATGAAACTCGTATTTGATTTAATATTACTTTAAAATGATGATATTTTATATAAATACTACGAATATTTTTTTTATTTATTTATTTTTTTTGGTACTTTTCATATCCATAACTGTTAGACGTATTTTTCATTTTTGATTTACAAGACAAGAAATTTTCAAAATACATTTGTTAATATATTTATAAAATTACTTTTAAAATCATATTTAATTTAAAAATCAAGTTGGGTTAAGCTACTATTTTTAGATTTAGTGCAATTTTTTCGTGACAGCTTCAAATCAGATTTTGGAAACTTGTCTTATTATTGCTCACTTTAAATATAGATATCATTTTAAAAGAGAATAAAATTTTATATATTATAATTAAATAAAAAAATACTTATTATTTATTTATTTATTAATGATCACCACTTTTATTTGCTTATGTAATTTTACCTCCTTGTTTACTTAGTTTATTTCGGTGCTTAGAGATCTATTTTCTCAGGTCCAAAAAATCAAATTCGAAATTATATTTGAATTTACATGTAAAAGTCAAATGAAAAATTTACCACCGGACAAAAGAAGTACAATTTTTATAGTTTAGTATTCAATATAGTAGTATATGTAAATAATTTGATATATATATATATATTGATACTAAAATTATTAAACTTTTAATGTTCTTAAAAAATTATAAAATTATTTTAAATTTCGATATGTCGGCGTAAAACATTACTCCTCCGTCCTTGATGAAAGTATCCATTTGAGTTTTTGTAGTATATTAAGAAATAATACTCTAATATTTTATTGGTTAGTGAAAGTGTATGATAATTTTGATATTTTGTCATTTGTATTTTATGTATACGTGTAACAACATCTTTGTAATTTATGTAAAAATTAATTGTATTTTGCTATTAGTGTTTGATTACTTTTTATTATAATAAAAATTAATATTTTTGAGTTGGACAAACGATAATAATAAAAATATACTTTCAGTTGGAGCTGAATGAATATATTCTAATAATGTACATGAATTTGGTTAAAGATGATTTGGTACAGTATACCGAAAATACCAAACCATATTGTATATCGTATCAAATTATTTGGTATGTTAAAAAAATATACCGAAAATTCCGTATATACCAAAATTTCAGAAAAATTTAAACTTCGGTATATACTGAAAATATCAAACTATATATCATTATCATACTGAAATTGTTTGATATGGTAATATATCTTACCAAATTATTTTTAGAATTTTTGACATTTTTTTGTTATGATATACATGTTATTTGATAATTCGATATTTTTTTATATGTAAATTTGATATACCAAATGATTAGTATATTAAAATATCGTACCAAAAATTCGTAATTATATAAATTTTAATATGTCATACCAATCCTCCCTATCAACAACCAAATTAAAATTTTTTGATGTATTGTTGGTACTAACTATTACAACATTTTTTTGTTGCGTTTATGGAATTTAAATTATTAAAGTTCATTTATACTTTTTGTTATCTAATTGTATTTTCAATTATTACAATAGTTTAAAAATAATAATAATGATTTATAGTACATTTACTCAATAATAAAAAAATTAGAATAAAAAAAAAATTATTTTTATTTTACTATTTTATTAAATAAAAAATATTTAAAATTACACTTTATTACAAATATTACATAAATTAATTAACTAGATAATACAATATTAAAGAATGCATAATTTAATTTAAAATCATCAACAAACATACCCTAAATTTTTAATCATAAATATAAATAAAAATATATTTAACTAATCAATTATGTGGTATTGAATTTGATAGTGTTGGAAATAGAGCGAAACAGTGATGCAAAACAAACAGCGTGCCAATAAATTTTGAACTGCAAACAACAAACTCTGAATTTACGAATTTGCCCATCCAAAAAAGCTCTTTATTTAAGAGTCTTATATACTAACAAATTGTCTATTTACGAAATTGCCCATCAAATTTCAAACGCCATGGCGTAGATGAAGAGCCTAAAGGCTAGTAAGTACTACTAGTCTATATCCCTACGCGCTTACGGTGTACCGCGCTACACCAGATTAAATCCCTATTTCGGTGATTTTTTGACCGGAAAAAGAAATTCAGGCGAGAGGTTTGGCCGGCCGACTAATCGGAGGTAGCCTAGTAGTGATTCGAGTAATTACCTTGTCGTTAACGCAGTGATGAAACGACGTCGTGTCGCTGTTGTTCTTCGCGTTGTTCCAGCACTCTTCGCAGAAAGCCTTCCCTGCTTCAGTCTTCGTCGCCGGAATTGTTGAATCCACACGGTACAAGTCTTCGATCGCCGGAAACGAATCGAGATACGCATTCGAATCGAATCCAGTCTTCGAATAGAAATTTGGTGAATTCACGTTTTCCTTCGCAATCGCCTTTTGGTATTTCTCATTTTGAATCCACAAACTCTGCAGACGACCGTTCAAATCCCGCAGCTGTAGACGACCGTTCAGATCATCGAGCTCTGACTGTGAAATATGGTCATAGAACGGCGCCGCTGGACTCCTCCGCAGCAGAATCAGATTCGCCGGCACAGGAATCGCTGGATTCGGAGAAAACTCGTTTTCCGGCGAGTAATCGGAGATCTCAGCGTCGCTTAGCATCCTCTCCCTTCGATTTCTCGACTTCCGCGACCTCTTCAGCACTACGAGGAAGCTACACCCCCTCTGGCGACATATTGACGCAAAGTTGACCTTACCTGTAATCGGAAACCTCCGTCGGTCCTCAGCGAACGCCGATTTGTGGTTCCTTCCTCGATTGACGAGATATGTGGAAATCTGGTTGGGTGAGATCCCGATCTTCTGGCTTAGCATTTGCTGAAAAGGTTTGTACTCCAACATCGGACTAATTTCCACATCTCCGATGTCTAACTCCCTCTCGCCGTCGTAGAACAGCACCGGAAACGCCGTAGCACCTCCGCCTTCTTCCTCCATGTCAGTCACCGCCAACTACACCAAAAAACTGGAAACAGCATCAATTTAAGCACGCAGATTTTTATATATATACATATATGGAAAATTAATAAAGTAATTTGGGATGAAATTTACAAGTTTATTGTGCAGATATTGCGGGGTAGCTTCGAGAGGATGTTTTTGGGATTAACTTGGCGCCCAAGCAAAAGGCGCTCTGTCAGTTGTTCCACACATAACATAAAATAAATAGTGTTAACTCTTGGTAGTTCATTGGACTCTCACAGCGCGTGGGCCCCACGCGTGAACACGCTGGATTGTTTTGGCTCTCGGGTCCTAGGACCTTTCAAAGGGTTGCCGCACCCACTCAATTTACAATTAATTTGGTTGCGCTTTTTTTGATTTGGTACTCGAAAATTTAGTTTGGACTTTATATTAAAATAAAATTTGATTAGATATTTATTAACAGAAAATATATATATCCTTCGTCGCTTAAATTATTTATTATTTTTTTTGCGTCATTCAATTTTATAATAAAATATTATTATATTTATATTTTTTTATTATGTTATTTTTTTATTTTCGTATGTCTCATTTTATTTTTTATTTTTTAAAAAAATAATTATACATTTTAATTTTTTAAAATGTTAATTTAAATTAAATTAATATATCCTTAATTATTTATTAATTATACCTCTTCTAAATTTTACGTGTCTACAATAAATGAAGCATGATAGTAGAGACGGAGAGGATAATATTTTATACAAATATTATTACATTTGTATTATACTATAATAAAAATATTTTTATTTTTTTTCTCTTTGTATTATATATTAATATAATATTAATATTTAAAATTCAACATTCAAAAAATAAATAAATATTTAGTTACAATAGGGGGTATATTTGTTGAAAAATTTAACATTCAAATAGTAAAACTTAAAAAGCTTAAATAAATACTTTTATCTGTTATCAACATATGTGCTTTAATGTTTTAGACATAAATTTAATAACAGTGGATAATAATTTTTATTTTTTAAAAAATAATATAAAAAAAGTAATATAATTTTTTTACCAAAGAGAAAAAGAAACAAAAAATATGTTTTTTGACCAAAAAAAAAATTTAAATTTAAATGACAAAAAAAGGATAAACGTTTAATAATCTTCTAATAGTTTAAATGCATACATTTTTCACTCCTTATTTATTTGTTAACTCTTTTTGTTTTAACTGTCATTTTTATATATTTCACTAAAATGTAGTATTAATTTTTATTATGGTACAAAAAATCGCATTGATTTCAAATTATTTTTTAATTTTTATATAAATTGCAAACATATCATTATACATAGTTATATAATACAAAGTGCAAAAATATTAAAGTCATCGTAACACATTTAATAACTAATAAAATATTATTAATTTTAAATTTACTGCAAAAATCCAAGTATATATTTTCGCTCGGGACGGAAATGTATTATTTTTTAAATAACAACGTATTTTCTCATATTTTAAATAAAATGGTAAACTGTTTTTTAATCTTGTAACTGTACCCCTTTTATCATTTTAGTTTCGTAAGTGAAGCCTGTCGCAAACTAGTCTCATAAGTAAAAACTTTTCGTTGTTTTAGTCCTCCGGAGCCGGAGACACCGCGTGGCTCGCCGGAGGTGACGTGCACGTGGATTTTTTTATTTTTTTTATTTTTTTAAAAACTTATTTTTAATTTTTTTAAATTTTATTTGCATTTTTTTATTTTTTTATTTAGTCCAATTTTTAAAAAAATTAAAAAAAATGAAAAATAAATAAATAAATCCACGTGTCCGTCCAGTGTCGCTAACCTGGCGGGACACCTGGCAGATACGTCACTTCCGTCAAGCCACGCGGACATCTCCGGCGCCGGAGGACTAAAACAACGAAAATTTTCCACTTATGGCACTAATTTGCGATAGGCTCCACTTACGGGAGTAAAATAATAAAGGGTTCAGTTACGGGACTAAAAAACAATTTACCCTAAATAAAAATACAAAACAAACACATTTATCCTAATATGTTGTTTTAGCAACCTTTTTTCCTTTTATCACTATGAGTGTGTTCTATCATAAAACTTTAACAAATTTCTACTATTTATTAAAAAAAAAAAAATCAAAAATAGTAAATCAAAATTTTTTTTTTATATTATATTTAAAATTAATTTTATATTAAAAATAAATGAATTATTCTCTTTAAAAAAATCTCAAATCAAATTACTATACAAATACAAAACACAAACACACATAACCTTCTTTCGTATTTGGAATGATTATACACCTTTCTAATTTATCTTTATTTAGATATTGATTTTTTTTTTTACCATCATCATTATTATTATTATTATTATTATTATTATATATATTTTGTTTATCATTTCTAGCTAAAATATTTCAAACAAAAATATACGCTTAAAAAAGTAAACTATTTATTTCTATTTTCGTTTCACAATATTTGTTAATAGTTTTATTTTAAGAAAATACCATATTCGATATATATTTTCATTTAAAATATTATACCAAACAAACTAAAAATTAAGGATAAACTGTTTTTTTAGTCTCGTAATTGGACCCTTTTATCATTTTAGTCTCGTAAGTGGAGCCTGTTGCAAACTAGTCCCGTAAGTGAAAAATTTTCGTTGTTTTAGTCCTCCGGCGCCGGAGACGCCCGCGTGGCTCGCCGGAGGTGATGTGTCCGCCAGGTGTCCCGCCAGGTCAGCGACACCTGGCGGACACGTGGATTTATTTTATTTTATTTTTATTTATTTTATTTTTTTCATTTTTTTAATTGGACCAAATAAAAAAATTACAAATAAAATTAAAAATAAGTTTTAAAAAAATGAAAAATAAAAAATAAAAATCCACGTGTCCGCCAGGTGTCGCTGACTTGGCGGACACGTCACATCCGGCGAGCCACGCGGGCGTCTCCGGCGCCGGAGGACTAAAACAGCGAAATTTTTTTACTTATGAGACTAGTTTGTAACATGCTCCATTTACGGGACTAAAATGATAAGAGGGTCCAATTACGGGATTAAAAAAATAGTTTACCCAAAACTAAAAGGATATTTTCGTTGGTGTGCATTATGAAAAAAATAATAATAAAAAAAAAAATGACAAAACAAATAGAAAGTATTCCGCATTGTAAATACAATCTACCCCACTCAACTTTATATTGAATTTGTGGTTCAATTGTAGTAAATGAAAATTTGAATTTGGACATTGGATTGAGCTTGGATACTCGAATATATTTATATAATTCTCTCAAACTAAAATATATATTTTTTTTTATTTTACAATGTTTAATTACAAAATAAATATTTTATTAAATACCTCATTTATTTTTATATAAATACCCTTATTTTACATCATATCATTACTTTTACACCAAAAGTAAGGACAAAAATGTCATTACACTACTTTTGACTATCTACTATAATTAAAATACTATTATTTCTTAAACACTGCGTCAAAAGTAATTATATATTTTATGTGTGGAAAGAGGGAGTATATATCAAAGATGGGCTTTGGGTCTTAGAAGGTCGTGGGCTGAGCCCAATACAAAAAAATCTTTTATCCTAGAAAATGATCGATAGTGGGCCGAATTTAAGTGGTATAAAAATTTGTGTAAAAAATATAAAAATAATAAATATATTAATTTGTTTAGAAAAATATAAAAGAGATTTTTACAAAAAAACACACTAGATTTTTACAAATTTATTTTATTGCTCAGCATGAAAATAATATACATATTGTCTAACAAAAATTATTTTCAGAGTCAATAACATAAAATAAGGGTATGTTTATTTTGTAAAATAATTTTAATGAATATATATATTTTTTTTTATGTAAAATATAAAAAATTGTGCATATAATATAAAAATAATGAATGGTATAGTATATTAATTTTTTAAAAAAAATGTATTGAATTATTTTTCTTATTTTACAAAAGAACACAAAATAAGTGTCTCAACAATGTTTGTACTGTCCAAAAATATACTTCATCCGTCCATAAACTAATGTTCTATTTTTCTATTTGGGACGTCCAACAACTATTGTTTTATTTCCTTTTTTAAACACAAATTTTACATTTTTACCCTTCATTTATTTATTACTTTTAATCTCTACTACACTTAAGGGTAAATTTGTCCATTCATAACAAAGAGACAATCACCTAAAAAACCGTGTAAATATACTTTAGGACAATAAAAAATGGACGGAGGAAGTATTATTAAGAAATGATTATGATAAGTGGCGGAATCATCCCTCAAGTTTTCAAGCTAAATGTCAATTTATTACTCCCTCCGTCCCAAACATCCGTGCAGCATTTGTGTTTGGCATGAGAATTTAGGTGGAGAATATTAAGTATTGTAATTTGAAATAATTTGAATATTAAGTGATGTGATTAGAGAAAGAAATGATTATTTATTTTTTTTATTTGAGTGATGTGATGGAATAAAGTGAAGTGTATATATTAATATATGGATATAAATATTATTAATTATTTCTAAATTTGAAAATATTTCAGTGAATTTGGGACAAAAAAAAAAGCAGCGTGTTTGAGACGAAGGGAATACTACTTGTTCAATATTGAGAAGTAAAATAAAATAATAAATTTATAATTAAAAATTAATTTAACATAATTATATTAAAAAATATTTTTTACATTTAAAAATAAAAATAAAATTTAAAGGCAATGGGATCTGGCCTTGCGTCAAGTAGATCGGCCACTCACTAGGGTGCTGACTTATTAACACATACTCTCTCCATCCCATGTCCTTATTTTTTATTTTCGTCCGTTCCACATAATTTGTCATTTTTATTTTTATAAATATAATTATGCATTTTAATCGCATTTTAAATTTTAAATTTTATAATTTTCTTAATTTTAATTAAACTATTTACTTATATTTATCTTAATTTATAATTATTTTTACTAATACACTTCTTAATTACTTACTAATTATACTTTACCTAAATTTCCGTGTCCACAGTAATACACCCATATTACATGGGACGAAGGGAGTAAATTATAAGTTTTTTTATAAATATTACTTCCTCCGTCCCACATAATTTGTCTATATTTTCTATTTTTGTCCGTCCCAAATAACTTGTCATTTCTATTTTTGAAAATATAATTATACACTTTAATCGCATTTTAAATTTTAAATTTTATAATTTTCTTAATTTTAATTAAACTATTTATTTATTTTAAT